TCACTCACATACAGGAAGTCCTTCATCGCGGTGTCCAGCATCACCAGGTCCGTGAGAAACGTGCCCAGGTAGGGGATGGTGCCCTGGATGACACCCTGGGACATCGAGGTGATAAGTGGGGTCCACGCCCTCCCCTGGGAGCCCCTCAGCCTCGGCCCCTAACCCCAACCCCGGGCTCCCGTTCGGAGCAGCCTGGGGACCCTTAAGCGCTCATCCCCCTCCTAGTGCCCACGGCCCCCAAACCCTCCGGTAACCTTCCAGGCCTGGTACCTGGCAAACCCCCAAGATGATGGGTCACTGACCCTCCCCGCCCCGAATCCCCCGGGCCTGGGTCCCAGGGCCTAGTCCTCCTGGACAGCGGCTGGTGAGGGACGGCCCTGCCAGGCCAGGTCTAAGGGCCGTGTGAGGCAGGAGGGCAGCGGGCGGGGGATCGGGAGGCCACCCCGCGCTCCGGGCCTGGGCACACTCACCGTCTCCTTCGGCCGCTTCTGGGCTCTCTTGGGGTTCATCTCCAGGGTGGCAAACTTGGAGGTCCCCTCCTGCCAGGGTTGAGCATGGGCTCAGTGAGGCCTTCTGCCCTTCGCCCCCACATGCACCCAGATCTGTCTAGTCATTTGGACCCACGCCTGGGCAGCCCCTTTGGGACCTGTCCCCTGGGCAGGCACGTGCCCTCCCCTGGGAAGTGAGTTCAGACAGAAGGGGGTGGCAAGGGCCTGCCCAGGGCCCAGGCTGGACTGGGCAGGGAAGGGATGCCCACCCAACGCCATCACCACCAGCCCGGAGGGCGCTGTAGGAGGGGACAGCACGGAAGCAGGAGACCTAACCCTGCCAGGCCGCCCACCTTCTAGAAAAGCCTCCCCACTCCCAGACCATCCCATTCCCCGGGCCTCCTGTCCCTGAAACTGCCCGCACCTGCCCACGGCCCAAACAGGTCCCCCTCTCCCCAAAGGTCCAGACAAGACAGGCCCGGAAGTTTGCAAAGAGCCTTCTGCTGCGAGGCTCCGCCCACCTCACCTTGACGAGCAGCTCTCTGCTCAGCGAGTAGTTGTTCTCATCCGAGAAGATCTCCGACAGCTTCTGGAAGACCCGCACGCTGTCCCTGGCGGGCGGGAGGGTGTGAGCACAGACCCCTCTCCTCGTAGAGCCCAAGGGCCCGAGCTGCCGGGCTCTGGTCCCACGGTCCTAAGGGCTCCGTGGGCCTGGGGAGGGGCTCTCAAGTGGGTCGGTCACCTGGGAGCCGTTCCCAGTTCCACTGAGGGCTCTGTTGGGACCAGTTTTGACTTTGTGTGGCTCAGTCCAGGGCCTGACAGATAGGGAACCTGAGTCCTGAGGCAGAACTGCTGGCCTAAGGCCAGCGGAAGGTTTGCCCCCCGCCCCCCCACATGTGGGCCCCGCAGGTCGCAGGCTCCCTGAGGGCAGGGCCCAGCCCCGGAGGCCCGCCCACCTGGATACTTCCTCCCACGTCTTCTTCAGCCGGTGGATGGAGTTGCTCTGCAGAGCGGAGAGGATGGCGTAGAGGGACGAGAAGTTCTTGAGGACCCGGCACTCCTGGGGGGGGAGCAGCGTGAGGGGGGCTGGCACCTCCCCTTCTGGGTGAGATGCCCGGGAGCCCCCCTCCCAGGGGACCTGTGCCCCATGAATATCGCTGGGGGGTGGGAGGGACCTGAGCTCAACCCAGGAAGGAACCTAAGGAGGAAGTGAGCATGGGGTGGGGGGGGAGGGGAGCTGGGGGGAGACAGGTCAAGGTCATCGAGGCCCTGAAACGGAAGGGCTGGTGCCACAGACCACAGCCCTGGGAGGGGGTGAAGGCGGCGAAGGGCTCCCGCATACCCTGGCCACCTCGATCCAGTGCTCCACCACCCTGGCCCGGGCCCGGGCCGTCGCGCTCCGGTCCCCGAGGCAGGTGGTGATGACGCAGTTGGCCACACTGTTGAACTGGCTGACGGTGGCCCGGACGGTGGGAGCCAGGTGCTCCTTGCCCTTCTTGTCCCGCTGGGACCAGATGGAGCCCAGGCAGTGGTAGGGCACCACCTTCTTGAACAGCTCCTGGGGGGCAGGGGCGTGTCACTCGGCTCCGCCACACCCCAGCACAGCACCGGTCCCCCCCAGTCCCAGGCAGGGCCCTGGTCAGGGCTGGGGCCCTGAAAGCTGAGGCTGTGGCTGAGCGGTGGAGCCCCGGGGCGAGGGACCCGGGATGAAACGCCCGCGGGAGAGTGTGGCGTCCTCACCAGCCACCCTAACTGCGGGCACCACACCAAGTGGCACCGGGTGGCCCTGAGCCCCTCACACCTGTGCCCCTCCCTGTCCAGATGCTCATCCATTGGGGGTCCAGAGCTGGAGGTGTGGCCAAGGCTGCCCTGGGGCCAGTACAGGTGCCTATTAAGTGGTGAGGCCTCCTGGGCAGATGGGGGAGCTCCCCTCCCCCACAAACAGCCAGGCTCCCCCATTTTCTATTGTTCCACTTCCTTTAACCCTCAGTTACTCTGTGCAGAGACGGGGTAGGTGGGGTCCCAGCTCCACAGTCCGCAGGGAAATGGAGGCTTGGGGATAAGAAGCTCGCCCGGGTCACGCGGTGCGCAGAGCTGGAGCTGGGGGTGGGGGTGGGGCCAGGCCACCAGCTCGGACCAGGGAACGGCCGTGTGGGCAGCAGATGCCGGAGGAAGGTGCGCCCTCCCGCCCGCTGAGCACAGCTGCTCACCGCGTCCATCAGGGTGAACTGCTCTGCCACCAGGTCGGGAGCAAACGCCAAGAGGTGAGGCCTCTCCTCGCTGAGCCCGTTCTCTGCAGCCACAGGCGAAGGCCAGGAAGGCTCTGGTGCTGGAGCCAGCTCTAGCTCCAGAGTTTGCGACAGAGCCGGTTCCAGCTCTGCAGTTGCTGTTGGAGTGGGTCCCGGGGCTGGCTCTCGCTCTGGAGCTGGTTCGAGAGCCGGCTCAGGCTCTCCAGCCAGCACTAGCTCTTGCTCTGGTGCCAGCACTGGACTGGGCACTAGAGCTGGCGCTAGACTGGACACTAGAGCTGGCGCTGGCGCGGGCTCCTGCTCTGAAGTTGGCACAGGACTGGACGCTAGAGCTGGCACTAGACTGGGCGCTGGAGCTGGCGATGGAGATGGCCCCTGCTCTGAAGTTGGCACAGGACTGGGTGCTAGAACTGGTGCTGGAGCTGGCTCTGGCGCTGGAGCTGGTGATAGAGCTGTAACAGGAGAAAAGTTCAGCAACACGCCTGCTTTCCCAAGACAAAAACCACGCCACTGCCTTCCAGAGAAGCCTCAGCCCAGGACGCTTCCCCACCCGGTCAGGTGGGTGGTCCGAGGCCAGTCTGTGCTCCCGGCCTGCCCCACGCCAGCCTCTGGAGGTTCCTCTGTGTCCAGCACTGACCCCTCCCCAGGGCCCCCCCGCTTCTCCTCACCCTCCAGCTCCGCCTCTGTGAGCTCCGTGCGCTCCAGCTGAGCCAGGAGCAGGTGCGCGCGGCGCTCCAGGTCCGAGCCAGGCATGTTGAGCTGCACGTAGGCCACCAGCTGCTTGAGGCAGGGGAAGCCCGGGGGCTGGTAGAAGTCCTCCGAGTACTGGTCCAGCCAGGTGCCCAGGATGGAGGAGATGGCACTGGGCGGGGGGATGGGGGCAGCAGAGTCAGAGGCCTGGATCCCCCTCCATGTGGCCCTCCCATGGCCCCTGTGGGGGTTGGACTCTGGGCCCGTCCCTGTCCATCCAGAGGCCAGTGCCCCTGCCCACCCAGCCTGGTGAGCAGGCAGGGTGCCCTCCATCAACCGTGTGACCACTTCCCCTGCCCGGAAAGCCTGATACCCTCTCTGTCTGTCTCCAGCACCCCCCACTGGACCGTACGCTCCACCAGGCCAGGGAGGGGCTGCCTGCTCGGTCCTGGCACAGACTGGCACACAGTGGGTGCTGCTAACCATGCAGGGAGGAGGGACCAGCAGCGAGTGCCCTGCCCAGCCGTCACGGCCCTCGTGGCAGCTCAGCCTCAGCTGCTGCCCGATGCGCTGCCCTATTCTCTGCCTCGTCTTCCCTGACACTGTCCGCGGGGAATGGGCGCAGCTGCCCCGGCCCCACGCGCAGCTGGACTGGGAGGACGAGGTGGGGCCGGGTGTGAGCCGGGCGCTCCCACACCACCTGTCCTGGGCACCCAGTCAGGGACAGGGCAGGGACGGGGCAGGGACGGGGCGAGCAGGGCTGGGCGGGCTGTGGGGAGGACGGTTCTCTCCGGGGGGCTGGCTCTAGGTCCCCAGCCTCCCTCTGCTCCCTGGGGCCCAGGGCCCACCCACAGCTCCCCACTCTCCCTCCTGCAGGATCCCTCAGGCCCCAGGGAAGCAGGGCCCAGGGTTCTGCCCACCCCGCAGCCTCGGAGGCCCTCCCAGGACCCCGGGCGCACTCACTTCCTCAGGTGGTCCTGGGGCCCGCCGTCCTCGTGGGAGTAAGGGAGGATGCATCCGTATCTAGAGGAGGCCGTGAGGGCGTCACATCTACCGAACCTGCTGTGACGGCTGCTGTTACTGGCCGCCCGCCCCCCGCTGGGCCGGAGCCTGGAGGGCCGGGGTTTAGCTGCGTTTTGCACTGAATTATGTTCTGTGCCCAGAAAAGTGCCCGCACACAGGACGGGCTTCACAAATACGTTTGTGGGATGAATGAACCCCAACTGGCACCTCACAGATACCTGAGTGGGCCTGGGCCCCCAGCCTGCCCCCAGGGCCCTTGCACTCAGGCAGGGGACCCCCAGAGAGAAGCTGGAACCTCTATGCAAATGAGAGCTGTTTCACCCCAGGGCACAGGGCTACGAGGCTGGAGGCAGAGAGCGGATTTGGCGGGAGAGTTCAGTCAGCCCCCAGCAGTCCTGACAACCCGGGCGGTTGCCTGTGTTCACATGAGCAAACTGAGGCTCAGAGAGGGCAAGTGGATTTCCCGGAGACACACAGCAGCGGGTGGGGGAGCCCGTGCTGCGGAGGGCGGGGCGCTCACCGTTTGAACAGCAGGTCCAGGACCTGCTGGGTGGTGGTGAAGGTCCGGTAGGTGCACAGGAAGATGGTGACGTAGGAGAGGTCGCTGCCCTGGAAGGCGGGCACCAGGTGCTCCACCAGCTTCTCCAGCGTGCCCGCCTTCACCGTGCGCACCTTGCAGGTCTCGTACAGGCTCAGGGCTGACTCATTCTCACACTGGGGTGGGCAGAGGAGGGCCGTGTGGGCAGAGGCAGCCGCAGGGACCCCCAGAAGGGTGAGGGCTGGAGCGCAGATGAGCGCCCACGCGCCCGGGGACTTGTGGCAGGAGGTGGGACGTGAGTGTCCCCCCAGAAAAAGGTTCTCACGTTTAAAAGTGGATCTGAGGGGGTGACGGGAAAGGCCAGGCCTGCAGGCCATGTGCTAGCTGAGCAGGACAGCCCCTCCCTGTGGGAAGGGCATCACCCGAGCGCCCTGGCGGCACGGCCCACTCCAGGGTGGGAGGGAGCAGCCCAGCAGGGCACGCGGGCACTCAGCGCAGGGCGGTGCCAATGGCCACAGAACCCGACCAGGTCCCAGGCCCAGAGGGGCTGGATCACCGTGGCAACTGGCTTCCCTTCTGGAAGGCCGGCCTCGGCTCCGACCTGGAGGGGCCACGGGCTGTGCTCGCCGAGAGACCAAGTTACGGGCAACTGTACCGAGCAGCCAGCCCCCACCCCACCCTTTTTGGGGTGAAAACAGCCCTTCCTAAGTGTGGGGATGTTAAGGCTCGGAGGTGTGGGAGGACAGACAGGAGGACAGCGGGGAGCAGCAGCCAAAACAGGAAACACGGGCCAGACACACAAACACTCCCAAACCAGCACGAAGGGAAAAGGGAAGCCAGTGGAAGCGGCCTTTCTGATGTTCACACAGATGTGCAAGCAGCCCAGCAGCTGCTGCACC